GGGGGGGGGGGGGGGGGAGGCGAGGAACTGGGGGAATTGGTGGTGAAAATGTACTTGTATAATCCAGGCTGTTTCACTCAGGCCAATCGCACTTTTGCTGCCTGCTATCTTGACAATCTGCGGCAGCTGCACTGCGATGCCTCCCAGGAGCAGTCCCGTATTCAGTGTGACGAGAATAACATCTTGCAAAACCGACATCTTTTTTAGACCCACTTGCACATGGGTAATTCGCTCAACAGTAAAGGGACCACTTTCCGCACACATGCGTTACCTAGTTTGAACCCAACCCAAGCACCCCCCTGAAGCGTACCGTACCTGCGGGGAGCACAGGGGTGTGAAGCACACGTGTGTGAAGCACACGTGTGTGAAGCACAGAGACGGGGGGGGGGGGGGGGTTGGTAATGAGTCATGTGTCGGGTTGCGATGGTGAGGCATCTTTAGAGCCATCTGGGTATAGAGTAGTGAATTTGAGCACTGCTGCGAATGTTCATGGACTACATGTGTTAGTTGATTATATAGTTGAAGTGAATGGCCAGCCTGTGGACGGAAGCCTGCCATTGGGGGTTCTGCTGGCTGGTACGAAGGGACCAACTGCGGAAGTCATGATTTATAACTTGATAGAGAACTCCGTGCGGTCAGTGGGTATAATCCGAAATCCCATGGGTCAATTCTCATTGGGAGCCACGGTGCGTTATGAGTATATACAAGAAGCAGTTGAAAACGGTAAGACAGAGGGCTGATCAACTCATTGTTTTGCAGCCGTGAAGGTGATTAGTGTCAAGAAGGATTATCCCGGGGATGAGGCAGGGCTAGTTGCTGGGGATGACTATTTAATAGCACTGGGCTCTGGAGAAACGCTGAATGGCACAGCTCCTTTGTACAAAGCCGTACAGGCATTGGACCCCTCCAAGTTAGAGGGAGTGTCCGTATACGCGTTTAGTGTTCGCGAGAGTACTGTGAGACGGGTGGAACTAATTCCCCGGATGGAGCCGAATAATCGGTACGTGCTCGGAATTGAGCTAGAAGAAACGAGCTTACCTCTAGAAGAAATAAAAGGACAGTCATCGACGGTACAACCCTGGCAGCTCCTTCAAAGCAAACGAGAAATTGGTACACAGACAGAGGAGTTGTCATCCCAATTGTTCCAATACGTCATGTCGACTAATTGCTAGCTATAATTCTGATGGCTAACTATCATGTATGGTGGCTAACTATCATGTTGCTAACCACTACGGGTTGTTTACAACCCGACCACCACGGGTTAGTTAGCCTAACAGATAGTTAGGCTAGGGTCAATTTTTAAGTCATGCCAAAATCGACCCGTCTTGAACATAACCAAGCGGTTCCGGAAATACCCAGAGAGGCAGATGCGAGGGTGGGTGGTTAGGATCGAGCCCGGAACGGAATGCTGGTGGTCAGAGATCGATTCCTTGTGAAGCTAATGATAATTTGTGCTGTTGCCATTCCGTACCGAGGTGCTTCATGGTGAGTTTGGGATCTTTGTAAATCGTGAGGAGTCGGTTGTAGTTATTTTTGCAGAAGGCTTGGTACGCATTGCATTTCTTTTTGGACACCTTGCGACCGGCGCTGTCGAATTTGCCCAAGTACTCAAGCGCGCCCCCACAGCTACAGGCTTGCGTCTTGATGTTGATAGTCTTGGTCTTGCGTTGGTAGGGTTGCCTGCAGTGTTGACACAGCCACCGGTGTTGCGGTCCTTCGAGAGTGTAGGAGTGCTGTGTGCTCACGGGGACGGAAGGATACCGTCGGGACGCAACCGCCACCCATTTCTTGAACACGGGACCGTGCGCCTTCCCGCGATCTTTGCCGTCCAAACACACCTGTGCCACGTGACACATCTCATGCAACAACGTTCGTTGCAGTCGGTCCACAGACGTCACCAGCTTCGTACTCAACTCAATCTTCACCGGGAACAATGCCTCGTTACTATTAAATAAACAGTCCTCGTCCGCCCCCGTGTGCAGCTCTCCATCCAACTCGTCCGCCATAGGAGGACGTGACACACACTCCGCTCCTTCCGGCCCATTGCAAGCCGGCCCGTCACCAGCCGGCCCGTCACAAACCGGCCCGTCGCCAGCCGGCCCATTGCAAGCCGGCCCATTGCAAGCCGGCCCATCGCAAGCCGGCCCATCGCAAGCCGGCCCATCACAAGCTTTGCCCGTGACCACCACGGAGACACCTTTGTCAGCAAACACCGTTTTGCCCGTTTGGACTTGGAACGCAGTTCGACCAGCGGAGTTGGTGAACCGGGGATTCCACAATATGTCGAGCCGGGCTGGGAGTCGATTATCGAAGACCTCTTCGTTGAACTTATCGTACCAAAGCGAAGCCAAGCGCCCCCGATTGCGCGAGGTGACCTTCTTTGCGGCGACCGCCCGAGCCGTGATCTTCTTGTGGTCCTCGCCCGAACTTAGTCCCGCCTCCTCTTCCGGCGATGTTGTCGGGTCCTCCAGCCGCCCGTCGTCCCGAGATGGACCGCGACCCAAGTCTTCTTGCGGAGGGGAGAAATTCGGCGTCTCGACCGCGGGTGTGCGCAAAGGTGTACGCGAAGGAGTGCGGGAAGGAGTGCGCGGTCGAGAAGTCACCGAGACGGGAGTAGGTCGGAATGGAGTTGTCGGCCGCGACAACTCAGAATCAATGACACATAGGTCCTTGTCCGAGTCTCCTTCTGGAGACAACCCCCCTTCAGGGGTTAACCCCACCTGAGGGGTCAAACCTCCATCAGGGGGCAGACTCCCCTCAGGGAACAACTCCTCCTCCAGGGATACACACTCAGGAAACAAACCCTGAGAAGACAAACTATTTTCGGATGAGACGCGTCTAGTGCCTGGTCTCTGGTCTATTGCTTTGGCAGAGCGACGGAGATCTCGCGACGACGCTGGTGGTGGTGTCGAGTGAGGCCATTCCCGAGCATCTCCACAAACGCCATCCTTTCGAGACCCCCCATCGGTTCCGCCTCCCACTGTGCTTCTGCCCGGGAACGAGGGGTTAGAATGACAAGCATTGGTTACACCAGCCTTGGTTATACCAGCCTTGGTTATACCAGTATTGGTTATACCAGTATTGGTTATACCAGTATTGGTTTCACCGGTTCCGGTCTTATTTTTGGAATACTGTACACGGTTTTCTTCTTCTTCGTCTCCTTTAGCCTCGCTAATCTTCGGCTCGCTGATCTTCAGCCCGTAGTCTTCTCCGTAGTGTCCTCCATTCCCGTTGTTTTTCACGTCCGTCGCCTTGCTGCATTGTCGGTCGCTGGGCGTCCCATTGTCAGATCCTGTTCCAGGGGGCGCTGCTTCTGAGCGCACACACGCCGACAAAGGCATAGTTTCAGAGCCTGAGTTTTGTTTAGACTCGGGGCGGAAGGACAGCCTGCCGAAGGAGAACCGGTAATTATCGCAAGACGGTGGCGGCGCCTCCTCGGACATGCCTTCGCCGTCGTACGTGGCAGCGCGACGGAAATACTCAGCAGGTTGGCTCGCACTCAGCTCTCGGCCGGAGACCCAAGTGCTCATCACCTTGGGCCGAGTGGCCGTCGCCGCTCGAGCCGTTAGATTTCCTCTTGCTGTGTCTGCAGACTTGGTCGTGCGCCGGAGCACGTCACTTACCATGTCCTCCACGTACGACATAATGTCCCTCCCTCCCGGTTCTCCTTTCCTCAACCCTGAGGGTTCCCTCCGACCCTCCTCCGGTCCCGGATCTAATTCCCTGGATCCCTGCTCACCCGGCCAGTGTCCCTTCTCCCTGCTTCGTAACGAGATGGTTTTCTTGTTCTCCAGTGACGCCGCGGAATCCAACTGTGCACGACTCGTACTTGGTGCACAGCTTGTTTCCAGTCCACGATTTGTCTCCAGTCCACGACACGTCTGTAGCCCTCGACTACCAGCCAGGAATCCTCGACTAGTTGCCAATGATTGACTCGAATTAAGACGCATGTCCGCTTCCCTCCTGGTGCCGGCCGGAGCTGTGGGCGGTCTGGACGGCTGGGCGTCCGCTCCGGAATTTAAGCGAGTTGGCCTGGAAGCGGGAAAGAAACTGGACGGGGGGTGTTTAGCGGTTTCTTTTGCCGCCCGAGCGGTGGCTGCTCGAGTGGTGACGGCACCCGGTCTCGCATCCTTGACTCCCCGAGCAGAGGCCAGTGTGCGTTTGGTCGAAAGCGCGGCGTCCGGCTTGGACGTATATTTTCCCCTGGTCGTAATCCCGTGCTTGAGATCGGTGTTTTTGGCCACATCCTTCGACCGACGCGCAGTCAGTAAATCATGCATGATAGGATCATGTCCGAACAAGCTCGTGGCAAAATTTTTCGAAGGCGTACCGGTCAGCGGAAACCCTTCGCTTGAGTCTTTTTGGTCCTGCTCCACGCACCGACGGCTCGATTCCGGAGGACGACGGCTCGATTCCGGAGGACGACGGCTCGATTCCGGAGGACGACGGCTCGATTCCGGAGGACGACGGCTCGATTCCGGAGGACGACGGCTCGATTCCGGGTCGTTGTCAGAGCAGGTTTGACAAGGGTCTGGAGGACTCGCTGGGAATCCGGCTTCTATTGGGTCTTGTGTTGTTGCCCGTCCTTCATCTGAGAAGCCTGTCCGGATCTGGGCAGAAAACTCGTCCACTAAACTGGACCTGGGTTTCAATGGGCAATCCATGTTGACGGGTGCGAAGGACAGCCGGCCGGCCGGGAGAATGGGTGAGGCTTCCGACGAGTACGCAGAAGGTGTGCCGAAACGTGGCGAGTTCATCTGAGGTGTCTTGGAGGACATCGTGGAAACGGTTCCGCCACCGGGAACGGTTCCGCCACCGGTAACGGTTCTGCTACTGGTAACGGTTCCGCCATTGGGATTCAGCATCATTGGGGCCGCCAACGCCAAGCTAACCATTGCACTGTCGAACGACGTACGTTTAATTTCGGAATCCGTAACGCTCCGTGAGGTTCTGTCAAATGATTTCGACAACTCATTCGAGTCCTCAACTATGTTTCGTTCTGGTGGGTTACGCTCTAATGAGTTACGCTTGTGGCAAAACTCTAGCGATGATCGTCTGCTACCAGTGTCCAGAGAAGTGCGTTTATTGGGTATCGGACGGTCTAGGAGTGGAGTGATGTCATCTGCGGGACTACTGTCACATGACTCGTATATTTCTTCATGAACTTGCGCCACCGAGTTTGTTCTACGGAAGCGTGCTAGTGGAGTTCTAATGGGCATTTCACTATCTAAGGTCCCAGCTTCGTGGTCGTTGGCTTCTCTCGTAGGCTTCTTTGCCCCTTCTCTAATCTTATAACACGGAGTGTTAACACACGGAGTGTTAACAAACAAAAGTTTAGTGAACCCAACCCATCCCTACCCTACCCTACCCTAACCATCCCTACCCTGCCCTACCTATTGTAATCTGGTTGAGTTAAGCAGAGTTAAGCAGAGCATAGTTAAGCAGAGCTAGAGTGCGTTTAGTCTTTGTGGTTATGCTTGATGAGTGGGATAAAAGAACCTGTGAACGGACTGGGACCGGTTGAAGCAATGCCCGCTTCTTCGCGAAGCTTATCCAGATCCATGCCCTTAGTGAGAGCAGGCAACCCATAGGAAATGAAGAGCATACCTCCTCCCAGGAGAACAATGGGATTCTTAACCAAGGACCAAACAGAGAAGGCTTTGGGGTTCGAATAAGGGGAAAGAATCTTTGTCGCCGGTAACACCAATTCCCCAGATCGCTTCAACTTTCGCTTCACACCTTCGTGCGGCTCAACTCGGAATATATGCAACCTATCACCTTCTACACCATCACTAATTACGCCATCATTGCTTATGTCTTGTTCATCTGATGACGGGTTAATGTCGTCCACTGATATAAGAGCTGACTCAAAAATGAACGCTGGGTGTGAAGCCCGAATCAGCACATCTGACTTGACGTCGGGTCTAAACAAAGGCGCTATTATGTGCAGTAAGCATTATGTGCATAATGTTTAATAGTACTGTGTGTTACTGTGTGTGTCTGTGTGGTGGTGTCTGTGTGGTGGTGTCTGTGTGGTGGTGTCTGTGTGGTGGTGTCTGTGTGGTGGTGTCTGTGTGGTGGTGTCTGTCTGGTGGTGTCTGTCTGGTGGTGTCTGTGTGGTGGTGTCTGTCTGGTGGTGTCTGTCTGGTGGTGTATCCTAGTGGTGTCTGTCTGGTGGTGTCTGTCTGGTGGTGTCTGTCTGGTGGTGTATCCCTAGTGGTGTATACTTACGTGATAAAGGATCCGTCGGAGTCTGGTTGTATCCGCGCACTGGGTTCCGATTGCCCGATGGGGATAACCTCGATTACTGTTTTTGTCAAGTTCAAATTGCGACGTTTCCAATCGGCTCCGAACGGATTTTTTTCCTCAGTGTACCACCAACTCTTGCCGACTGCTCCCTCTTCGTTCGTGACCAGTCTGGGGATGACTATCTTACCGGTCAGAGTCTTGGCGCTGGGAGTCAGAGCGAGGATAGCCGCAGAGAATAACCTCATTTTAATTATTTCAAAAACCCACAGTCCCCCAACACAGCAATTTTGACGCCACAGACTCGTTGCCGATCATGCGTGGGGGCGATCATGCGTGTGGGCGATCATGTATTGTCTCTGTTACGAAGTTGTGACCGAAGTACCGCACATGGTTTTATTCCGTCAAACATTTTTGTCAGACTGTCCTCTTGGCATAGGGCCGATGTATCGTCCAGATCCCCCCCATCGTCACCAACAATAAGTTTAGTCAACTCTTCACGAAACATTGCATCGAACTTTTCTTCCATGGTTTGCTCCTTTCTAATCTTTTCGTCCAAATACAACTGCGAAGAGTCATCCGAGATGTCCGAGATGTCCCAGTCGTCTAATAAACCTCCGAGTCCCATATCCTTGAAAGCGTTCTTAAGTTCTTGTTCCTCTTCCGGCTTTAGGCGTTTCGGCCGATCGCCGTTAAAATCCATGCCGGCGAACAGGTCGCTTTCCACCTTCATACCCTGCTCCAGACGTCGAGTGAGCTCTTCCGGATCATCCCCATCCAGACCCAGCATCCGGGACAACTCGTCTACCTCGCCCTCCCCCGCTACTTCCGCAACCAGCTGCTCCACCTCGCCAACATCAAGCCCCACGTCTACCTCGGACAACAGGCGCGCGCCGCAACAGTGCGTGTACCGACACCGCCGCGCCACACAACCATGCGCCTTCTCCACACAACCGCACTTGCCATCCGCCGGCGCCTCCCGCACCAGGGCCAGCAAGTCGTCTATAGCACGTTTGGACGGCAACACACCCATATCAAATATGTTCAACTCCGGCTTCAATCCCGGCTTCGATCCGGGCTCGGCGATCCGGGACATCCAGATGTAAGGTGTCAAGACGTCCGTAATGTGGCGCCCGAACTCTTCCAAAATCGTGTGCTGATCCTCCGTTTCGGAAACGGTGCCACAGATGCGATTGTAAAGACGGACCTCGAACGGCTCCAAAGCAGCCACGACCGCCGGCGAAATTGTCGCGACCGTCAAGCCCAGCTGGCGGACCAAGGGCGCGAAACAACCGCGTCTATCTTCTTCCACAAACCCGGACACTAGAAGCTGCAAGCCGTAACTGACTCGGGCACCCAGCTGTCTCATTTCCAACTGCCTTGCCTCCCGCTTCGTTGCCTCCAACTTTGTTGCCTCCAACTTCGTTGCCTCCAACTTTGTTGCCTCCAACTTTGTTGACTCTAGCGTCGTCGCCTCTAGCTTCGTTGCCTCCAGCTGCCTCATTTCCAGCTGGTTGCTGTCATCCCCGTCTGCGGAAGCGTGCCAGTTCCGCATCATGTACTCGAAAGGCAGTCGTCGAGCGTGTTGCAGGCTGTTCAGTAACCGACCGCAGGCTGCCGAGGGCAGCAGCAGTTCTGCTGTCACGCAGTCATCTGCCGCTCCCAAAATGAATCGCTTATCGGCGAATCGGTTATCCGTCTTCTCACTGAGAGACGAATTCGTGACACTCGCCACAGCAGCCGGTCCCAGCTGGGGACACAATGTCAGCAATCTGCCCACCAGCTTGTTGACCAGAAGGGGAATGTGATGATGTCCGTTCATCTTGCCACACAAAGACGCAGGGTCCAGGAGTGGAGCCAGCTTCTGGCCAGAGCCTGATGACTCGACCGCGCAAAACGACGACTCGACCGCGCAAAACGACGACTCGACCGCGCAAAACGACGACTGGACCGTTGACGACTGGTCCGTTGACGACTGGTCCGTTGACGACTGGACCGTTGACGACTGGACCGTTGACGACTGGTCCGTTGACGACTGGGTGGCTGAGCCTTGCCTCAGGATCCGTAAGGAATCAAGCTTCTGTTGTAGCAGTGTCATCTCGCAAGGTGCGGCGCTTCCGGGTATCTTGTCTAGGCGGTTGGCACACTTATAAACATTACCTCGACGAATAACACATTCAGGCCACACCCTTTTAACTAACCCATCGTCTAGTGCCTCACTTGATACAACCGGTTCGACGTCTCCCAGACAGTATGGGGCCAGGACATCCCCATCCGAGCTCATGCAAGTGACCATAAGGTTTAGCCATTGGGGCCTCGTCGTGAGAGTTAGCAGAATTTGAATGAGCGTCCATCGGTCAAATGGAAGGGCCTCGGCTGACAGATCAATACGGGTTATTTGATAACTTGCGGGCACCTTATCTCTATCTTGACATCTATCTTGACACCGCGAGAAATACACACGGGGGGGAAAACAAGTCCACAGAGTACGGTCTAATAATTCTTGCAATTCAACTAGCAAAAGTCCATGCCATGTTTGTGATACCTGGCCATCCTTTATGAAAGAGTATGGACCATGAAACACTTCAAACCAACAATCTAAGTCCTGGACCTCTTGGACCAGCATTTTTTTCTCAGACTCTCCGGGCTGCTGGAGTGTAGCGGTTATATTCTCCCTGTTGGAGTGAGTGAGTGAGACTAGACCACCAGTTGTCGGCAGTAGCCAGATGTTGTCGGCACTGGATGGTTTGTTCGGTTGTCGGCACTGGGTGGTTTGTTCGGTTGTGGGCACTGAGTGGATGAGACCGCAATCCCTTAGTCGCGATGAGACCGCAATCCCTTAGTCGAGACCGCAATCGGTTTTTTTGAGAGGTGTAAAATTATGGCGTTTGAGAGCTGGAAATTGGTGTTGCTCCATTGGATGGATTTGAGCTTCCAGTTTACCAAGGAGCATTTTGTATGGGGTTACTTGGTGCTAGATCAGTTGACGTTGATGTTGGCATCATTGTCACGTCTAATGTCAGGTTATATAAGTGCAGATGGTTTGGAGCAATGTCGTAGACCAGTTAAGCCTTTGGAGCTGTATGAGTTCCAGGCTTGCCCATATTGCCGACGAGTACGGGAAACGTTGCACTATTTGGCTATTGACTACATATGTTACCCTACGCCGAAGGAGTCGCTTAAGAGTCAGGGTGTTTTCATCAATAGCCGATTCCGGCCGGCTGTGAAGACTCTAGGTGGTAAGTGTCAGTTCCCATTCCTGGTTGATAAGAACGTGTTTGACAACGCGGTAGAATTTGACCCCAAGGTGTCGGCTATCATCAAGAACAACACAAGGGACGGTGCTGTGATGCTTTATGAGTCCGGAGACATTAACGCCTACCTGTGGGCCGTGTACGGTGACAAGGCGGTACCCTCTCTGCGATGGCGTATTATCCAATCAGAGTGGTTCGACTCCGTCAGCCGCGTCATTACAATGATCGCCAGACCTTGCTTGGACATGGGTGTCTTCAGAGCCGCATCTCGCCAACCCGAAAAGCCTCTGCAGTTCTGGGGCACTGAAGGCTCCGCACCATGTGCACGTGTGCTAGAGACTCTTGCCACTCTCGAACTACCCTACCATTGCCATCCCATGCCCCAAGGATACGCCCCTGTTAGGAAGGCCTTTGCTAAAGAACACGCCGACAAAATTAGCGGCTGGAGGAAGTCCGTCGGCTTCGTCAAACAGCCTTTCCTCAGAGATCCTAACACAGGCATCGATATGTTCGAGAGCCGAGACATTGTACAATATCTCAAGAAAACATACCAAACCGCACCAGTTCCCGGAGAGAGATGGATCACCAGTTAACCTTGACGACGACACTGACGACGATACTGGAGACTACCCGCTTGGATCACCCGTTTGGATCAACTCTCGTTCCCTCCCTCCATGACGTCTAGGACATTTTTTTTATGTTGTTTTCCTTCTTCATTTTCGATTCCATTGGATGCCTGTATGAAACCAATTTATCCGCCGCTGCCTATCATAAGGACATAAGGAATACGGAACGATTGTTGCGTGGCTTTGTATTTAGTCTTGATCGATTTTGTGCCCGTGTCTTCCCACTAACTGAAGATGAAACATCAAGAGGAACGCCTAGTTTTGAGACTATGGAAACTGATTCTTACAAACTACACTATTATGAGAGTCTCACCGGATATAAACTAGCATGTATATCAGACAAACAAACTCCATCACTTGTTCAATCGCTACGGTAATCACTCACTTACTGCGTTTCCGAATCCCCGCTGCCCTAATGCGTGTGTGTCGTGTGTGTGTGTGGCGTGTGTGAAGCATGCTTAGGAAGCATGCTTAGAAAGTGGAACCTGTATCTGACCCATAGGGATATATATGAAAAAGTGTTTGTGCCTGTGGTTGTCCTTCATCCTCAGTTCAAGCCAGTAAAGAAAAACGGGACCAAGGAACAACTCCGGGCCGATTTGGAAAGGTCAAGAGCACTTGTGAAGTGTACCAGTTTCCCTCAGGACGTGAATCACTATTTCCGAACGACGTATCGCGCAGGATTTTAGTCGAGCTAATGGCAAGTCACAGTTTTGAAGAAATACATGTTACCCAAACTGTGATGCTGTCTTTCAGGCCTGAAACCATCAAAGCAGAACAATAGTTGGCACTTATGGCTGGTATCGCGGTGTGGTCTGTTGTGCTCAGCTGCACCTCCAGTTCCACGACGAAATTCCGTTCCAGCAATTAGGTATGTACAAAGCTGGAGCTTAGTGTATCCGAGTGGGTTATTTCAAAAATGGGTTTAGATCTTGTTAAAGGAAGTGACCTTTACGGTGCCGATAAGTTTGCCAGGCCACTCCTCCTCATAGTCTTCGAGTTCGCCGGTGCGTCTCATCTCGCAGTACTTGGCGGCATCCTCGGGAGTCATGCCAAGAACTTCGACGGCTTCCTCGATGGCCTCGAGTTGGACCTTCTCGTCCTCGATGGCGCAACCGAAGATGAGAGTAGTTAAGCCAAAGGGACCCGCAGCCACCTTGCCGGTAGGGCCCCATACCAAGCCGTCGATCTCAATCTTCTTAATATGTGTCTCATACATCTGACTAATGTCTTTCTCCGCGTCGTACGGCATCGCCTCCATAGTCACTGAGGACTTGGCAATCACCGGCTTCTTCTCCTTCTTGGGAGGAGGTACCGCCTTCTTCTGCTTGGCAGCCATTTGGGCCTTCAGGTCCACAGCAGAGTCATCATCACTCCCGAACAAATCCAAATCGTCGTCCACAGCAGCAGCAGTAGGCTCTAAAGAAATAACCATTTGTACACTGAGCACAGCATGGTGCGGCACTTACACTGGAGCAAGAGTGTGTGCTCTGGTGCAAGAGTGTGTGTGCTCTGGTGCAAGAGTGTGTGTGCTCTGGTGCAAGAGTGTGTGTGCTCTGGTGCAAGAGTGTGTGTGCTCTGGTGCAAGAGTGTGTGTGCTCTGGTGCAAGAGTGTGCTCATACTGGAAGCGGCAGCCGGCGCGGGAGCTCCAGCTTGGTAGAGGCCAAGAAGGACGGCGAACTCGGGATGGAAGGCTGGCATGTCGAGATAAAAAATTTTGTAAATATGCCCCGAGACGTTTCTGAGAAAACGGTGGCTGAAACAGTCGATTCCCGCCGGTAAAAACTGGCGCTCGTGAAATTGTTTCTTGTTCTGTAGTTTGGCATGGAAGCGAGCGACTCGGAATGATTGGGTGAGTTTTGTGCGTGGGTGTGTGAACACGACAGGTGCGACGTTCTTTATTCTCGGTTCTATTACGAGTGTGCTGGAGTTGAATTTATATGTGAGCATGCTGTTCATAATAGGTAACTGTTGTTACATAACGACGGGTATATGGTGGGCGATTGATGCTCGTCGTGACTTCCATAGACGTTACGAGGAGCGTGGTGTCGGTGTACGTCGTGAGCCATTTATAGCCGGTCCGGGTAGTGTTCCTCCACCATATGCGCCTTTGCCGGCAGATGCGGCCGAGACGGAGCAGATTATTCAGGCATTCCGCTCACTTACATGGCTGGACATAGCGGGTGCTATGAACCAGACTCTGGGTGCCTTTCTATTCAACGTTGGTTGTGTCACCATGTGGCTAGGAGATGACTGGGTGTACGCTACAACCACCTTTTGGACTGTCGGTTCCGGCTTCTTTTTGCTGCAAGGAGCTGTCGGACACATCTTGGCCACCAGCTTCATAGAACCACTTATCACCCTCGTCCCCAGGAACCCCAGCAAATGGCGGCACACCAATCCCCCTTGCTGCAGACGCAAGCTTTGCTTACACCACTGCATACCCGCCGCATTGTTTAACACCATAGGATCCACCCTGTTCGTGGCAGGCTCTCTGGTCCTCTGTTGGCCTATCACCACCATCAGCTGCGGATGGCTATTCCTAGTCGGTTCTATGTTCTTCCTCGTCTCCAACTACTCTGATATCGCCAGCGTCGTCGACGGGCTCTACTCCAGAGCAGCCTCGGAAAAGTAGACACCTTTTTTTGTTAATGAAACCGGAATCGAAACGGCGACTGTTGGAATGGGGATACTTTGCTGACAACGATACAGAAAAAGACCACGACCAAGATGACCCCTCCTTCTTATATGGCTGGGCTCAAGACGCTTCAGGTACTTGGAATAAAAATGGCAAACAGACACTCATTAATTGGACTCTGAAGGACTATCAAAACTGCGTTGCATGGCTCGAAATTAACAAAGCTCTGGTTCTGCACCCTTCTGAACGAGCGTGGCTCCTCCAAATTACTAATACAAAGGCATGGATGAAAAATTACAGATTGGTACCTCCCCTTCAATCTCCGATCTATCCTTTCCTTCTTATTCCTTCCATGATGCGTTACCTTCCACTTCTATCATGCGTTACCTTCCACTTCTATGATGCGTTACCTTCCACTTCTATGATGTGTTACCTTCCACTTCTATGATGTGTTATGTTTGTAGTATTTGGATATACTGAAAGTTCCTTTTGACGCAGAAGAAAAGAATTTGGAGAACCTTGTAAAGAAAACATTTGACACTGTGGTATCGAGAAGTATTGAGGAGTACTATGCAAACGAGGATATGCCATGTCAGTTAATTAATGGAGCTTTAAATGAAACCGAACAATTATTGGATGCTGAAACAATCCATTTGGCCAAGCAGGTTCTGGGTCAGGATTTATCTCTAACAGTGGAAGAGACATGTAGAGTACTTAGATCTCGTTTAATTGATCCAGGACAGAATGGGTCGGCACAGCAACTTACAGAGCCAAACGATATATGTCGTTTAGTATGTCAAAAAAAAATGAACCAGATTCAAACGGTGATTAATGAAACGATTGCAGGGATGCAAAAAATTACTGCCGATGTTGCCACAGACTTCCGACAAGGCAAAGTGGGCTTCTAAGTAGGCCAGAGCTAGGGTCAGCTATGTTGAGAGGTTAGCTATGTTGAGAGGTTAGCTATGTTGACTAAGCGATTGCCGATTCCTTATATTCCCTTGTTGATTTCACTATATAGTTCAAGTATTCCTCGCATCCTTCAAGACCGGAAGTGTTTGTTAAAATTTCATAGTCCAAGCGCTGATCAAAGAGAGATTTTGTTTCAGGGTTATCAGGCAGCATTGATATTTGCTTAAAGTAAGCTGAGCCTTGTTCGTTAAATTCTTGCAATGCTGCCTGTAACGCACGAGCATACCAATTACCAATCTGACAATTAATTGGTACAGCCCCGACCTTTACCAAAATACCTACTACGTCTTCAACCGTTTCCAAAGGCTCAGGCGGCCTACACAAATTTTGGTTGTACCTTCCCGTACTGGTCCACTACTGGTGGTATGCCCCACTGGTCCACTGGTGTTCACCCACTGGTCCAATGGTGTTCACCCACTGGTCCTATTGTGTGGTCGTTGATTGTTTGCCTGAAGAGGCTTACATTTGAGGTATAACAATTTGTGGTACCTGTCTGAGCACAGGGGTGTTAACAGGAAAGTCGAATTTGGTGATATCGAATAGTTTAATATTCGTCTGATACACACGTTTGTATGTTACAAATAATGGCTTAATGTAACTACAGTATATACAGTCAGGCTTAGTGTAGATAACTATGTTATGGTTCAGTTCATATGGAAGTTCCTTAGCAGTTATATACCCTGCTTCTTTTTCTGTTTGCGTGAGAACAGTTGCATAGTCTTTGAAGAATTCATAAACTGTATTTTGTATATCACGAGTGGTCGTTACAAGCTCCTCTTCTTCCAATACCATTTGCCTTGTTCCCTTATACATCGTGACGTTGAATGCGTAACTTAACTCCGATTTGGGATGGTGGTAATATACCGGAGCTACATGTCTCAACCCATGGGCTTCTAGCCAAGCTCGTGCTTTACGAACTCCTTCCATATCATTCGCCCGCACAACCAGCAGCGGGTCTAATCTATCCATGATAGCTTGGGTCACCTTTGGGATCATTTTGACAAAAATATGCAAGAGCGCTAACACGGTTTTAAGAGCGCTGAAACGCTTGTAAGAGCGCTGAAACGCTTTCAAGAGCTCTAAAACGCTTTCAAGAGCGCTGGAACGCTTTCAAGAGCGCTGGAACGCTTTCAAGAGCGCTGGAACGCTTTCAAGAGCGCTTCCAGATGCTTTTTCCAGTTTCGACATGTTTAGCCGCGCTGATAAAAATGTCTCCCATATAGCAGAGCATTAACAAAACTATGATATCCAGGGCCGTAACAATACCAGCTGCTATCCACTTGGAGTTTGGCAAACGGTCATCTTCAACATCGATCAAGTTACCCGATTCATCATATTGTTTGATCAAATCGCCACTCATGCCATTGACTTTTAGCCACATGAGCAAACACGATACCATGGTGCTGATGATCGAAGGGTAAACGAAATACGCACCGATCTTGAGCAGTCCGGCACTCCTAATCAATGTCCCTATAAAGCCAGCCAGACAACAGAGAAAGGTGACCAGCGACATGCCCAGTGATAACCATGACATCACTGTCTGGTCGTCGCGGTCCTCCCAAAGCGCCTGCGTCTTGGTCACTGCGTCCGCCACCAGGAAGAGAGTCATCACAAAGGATATCACCAAAGCTCCCACGCCTAATGGCAAACAGAACAGGACAGAGTCCTTGTTACCGCTCATACCTATCTAAACAACACGATGACCCAGTCAGTCCCTTTAAACCATTACCATCTTGGCACGATTTCAACACCCCACGCAGCCATGCACCATCGTTAACTCATGGGTCAACATGAACCGTACCTAACCATGAACCGGTCCGCGGGCGCAGTTCTTCGTTCCTGACCTTGGCCCACTCGCTTTTAGCCGTGCAACAGATCCATGATGACTTAGATCCTTTTGGAGAAAAAAAACTGGCTTCAGAACATGCGCTGTCCTTACCACCGCTTAATGCCAAATGCTCTGTCCGCGCTTGATCCGTTTGTGTGAGCTCAGGAAGATGTCCCCAATGTAGCATAGCAACAGCAATACAACGATATCCACCGCCGTAACAATACCAGCCGCAATCCACTTCTCATTCGGTAACCGATCATCTTGGATATCAATCAAATTACCTGAGCCATCATACTGCTGTACCAAGTCACCATCCATCCCATTGATCTTCAGCCACATAATCAAACATGATCCCATAATGCTGATAATCGAAGGATACACAATGAACGCACCCATCTTCAGTAGTCCGGCGCTACTAATCAGCGTACCGAAGAATCCAGCTAGACAACAAAGAAAAGGAAACAGGGACATGCCGAACGAAAGCCATGACATTGTCGTCTGGTCCTTACGGTCTTCCCAAATGTCCTCAATCTTAGTTGTCGCATCCGCAAGCATGCATAGAATCATCACCAACGAGATCACAAAGGTACCGATGCCCAACGGCAAACAGCACAACACCGAGGTTTTGTTACCGCTCATACCTATCTAAACAACGCGTTGCTTGAGCCTTTTGAGCCATTACCATCTTGGCCCGATATCAACACCCCACAACCATGCATAACCATCTACCCATTCATCCATCGCTATAAACCCGCGCACAGTTCCTAGACTAGGGTTCATTGAACGCAGCTGGAGACAGCGCTGAGGCACTTCGCACTAGTTTGAACCCAGTAGGTTGAACGCACTCCGCTCGGCACTACTCAGCTCTGGTGAAAAACGGGTTCCACAATCTGGTCGGTGCCGGCGACGATCGGCGCAACCACCACGGGGGCCGGGTCGGGGCCGTAGGAATCTTCGACGATTATGCGGCGTCCCTCAAGGTCGTGGGTGGCCCCCTCCGGTGTCGTGCTCTCCGGGTTCGCGATTGCGGGTTGGCGAACATGCCACGGGTCGCCTCCGCGGCGGTAGAGATGAGCGATGCGTTTGAACAGGGCCGAGACGTAGACAAGCGCAAGCACGGACAACGTGTCCACCAAAGTCAACACCCACAACCGATTCCATTCCGCGTCACTCGGCTTCCACTCCGCATGTCGGTCGTGCTCTTCCACCAGACTGCTCGTCACATTTCGCGATAATAACGACCACCAACGCACACCCAGACTCAAGAATATCGCCAACACCACGGGCCAAACCGCAAACGCACCAGCCCGCGCCAACACAGGGCTCCTCACTCCCAAACCGACCAAAGCAAACAGCGCGAAAATGCCAGGAATAGTCGCCAACAAAATCCGCAACGCCATCACCATACTCCCGCGCTCCTGTTCATCCACCGTCAATGCGTCGAATAGCTCAAACAACATCCGCGCGAACAATACCACACTCACAAACGACGCCAACGGCGCCAGCGGCAACAGCCCACAGGCACGCGCCCGGTTGTCGCTCCAACACAACGTCATCGTGCACCTGGTGCATCCTCGCCTTGAACCATCACCTTCGACACCGCCGCTGCAGAAGCCTCAAGGTACTCCTTCTGACTCCGAATGTTGCTCTCCAAAAATCCCAACATACTCCGGATCGTACTCAAGGATGCACTACTCCGAAACTGCTCGTTCACATACTGAAACTTATACGTCATATCCTCCAACGCGCAATTCTCCGCCTGATTCAACACTCCCGCCGCCTCCTCCAGTACCGCAGGCTGCGTATAAATCACCGGCGTAACCGATGTCTCCGGATACAAAGAAAATATCGGCTCCTCCGAACCCCCCTCACTCTTCTTCGCCGCACCACTCGGCACTGCCGTCGCCCCCGGCTCGTACAACTTTATTGTCACCCCCGTTTCCGCCTCACTCGCCCTCTCCGCGGCCTCCTTCTTCATCTCCGTGTCCACGGCCACCACCTTCTTCGCAACCGTTGCCAACTCGCTCCGCACCGTTGTCAACAGCTTCTGCGATGTCTGCAACGCGTCCGTCAGCTTCTGCACCAACTCCCGGTCAGCCAGGGGGTCCGTGTCTTCGTCCGCGACCTGTTCTAACTCCTCCTCCTCTTCGTCGTCCTCGTCGTCCGTAGTAAGATCCGACGTTTGCGTCACTTTTGTCGAATTCGGCTTCTTGTCCAACATCGAAAGCTAAATATAAGGGGGTGTGGGTCCGGAAGGCATTGCATCGAGGTCCGGGTGGAGATAGTGGATGGAGGTATGGGTGGAGGTAGTGGGTGCAGGAGTAGAGCTAGTGGATAGGGGTAGAGCCAGTGAATAGGGGTAAGGATGGAGCTAGTGGGTTGAGGGATAACCTACCTCAAGGTCCTTCAGTTGCGGAACACTGGGTTCGACGTAGGACGAAGCGCTGGTGTCCTTTTCGGACTTTATCGTTTCGAGGAGTTTGTCGCCTCCGACGGACTGAAGAGCGCCTGACAGGGCACTGCTGGAGTTCATGAGCGACGTCAAGTCGAGTCTGACGGCCGCCGAGAGATGAGCGGGAAGTAATGCCCACAGGAACACGGTGAGAGGAAGCATTGACAGAGGCACCGCACACGTGTGCTAAAGGTCCGAGCGCAGGTCCACGTCCCAGTGTTGTTCGTCTCGGGTGGTGAGCGCCTCAAACTCCTCCACGGCCGCCCCCTGCTCCTGCACCGAGCGATCCGGGACCTCTTCGTTAAAGACCATGCGCCGTTGCACGGCCTCGGCAAGTGTATCGAGCTCATAAGCGAAGAGGGGGCGCAGCTCGACCGTGATACCTTTTTCCAGTCCCGGGCCGCCAGTCCAGTTGCTGCCACGCAGCGTGCCCGCCAAGAGGGCGTCGAGCCCGTGGTCGATCTGCTGTCCCTGGGCATCGCGGACCATAAAGAGCCCGCCCCGACCCAGGTCCAGCCGGTCCTCCTGCGTGGTGATATACCCCTTTAGGTACTCGGGGATGTCATGGCCAGTCACCGGTGCCCAGGGGCCCGCTTGGAGCAGTAGTGACAAGAAGTCGACGAGTGCGCAATCCATGTGTGGCCCAAAGTCGAACGGCATTTTCGAAGGCGCCTGCTGAGGTCGCTTAGGACTCCTCAACTCCGCACGCAACGCATCTCCCAGGAACATCAACGGGCTCTCGTTACACGACTTCACCGGCAACAAGTCGTTCGTCATCTTCCGTGCGAACCAGACGTTGTCTGCCGCCACCAGAGTCCGCAAGAACCGGCCGGAAACGGATGTAAAGGTCGTGGGGTGAGACCAGCTACGCCCAGACGCCTCGCCCAGCGCACTCTGCACAGACCGCGGGTTGTACAAATTCCAGTCAATGAAGGTGTGCCAATTGAGCGTACCCAGCGGGTGCGCCATAGACCGGGCCTCGAACTGTCGCTCCCACTCGTCGTAGCCGCTAATCCGCAAGTTCTCAGAGATGATTCGAACGGGCCAGTATTCGTCGTTCGCGCCACACAAAGTCGGGCATGTCCCTCGAATTAACCTGTTCGCCCCCACCTCCCACAACCGATGCGGAGCCACCAGCGCCTTTGCATGCTCTCTTGTCAATGTCAGCCACTGCGAATGCTTCGGATAGCCTTCTCGGTGTTCCAAACAGAACAAGTCTACTTTGCTCCGCGGGTCAGCAGCCAACTGCCCCCAAATGTGCTTAAACGGCTTCAGCGGTATAGTTGTTTCCGACACCAAACTGTAGTGGGTAGCATCAGGATGCATCTTCAAAGCATAAGAAAATGCTTGCCTTGTTGCGTTAAGCAAATACCATCTTCTCGCAGCAACCGGATCATTCACGATGTACTCACTCGCAAAATATGGTGATCTTTGCCGAACGGTCTCCAGCGGCGCTTGCGGATTCCGAAACACAACGCCTAAAAAGTGGAAATACAACAACCCCCACACGTTCAATACCTTTGAGATACGGGTTGTGCTTGTTCTGGTAGCCCGTTATATCGCTGTGTGCTTGCCTTCCCTCCAGATATTTAAGCCAATCATCATACCATCGATCCCATGTTTCTTTCAAATCCGTGCCGTCAATGGTTAAGAAAACAAGGACCACCCTTGGCATGTGGGGGAACCTAATGCGCTGAGCTGGGGCCAATCGGCGAGGAGCGGCTGCTCGTATTATAGGAAGGCCCGTATGGACCCTGGTGGTCCCAATTGTCAAACATATGCCGATCAAGACTGCTGCTAGAAGGAGCCAGCGTCTCAGTATTCTATATTTCCCGGTATCTGAGCTTTTCGGCATCGAGTTGGTCTCTTCTGCCGGGTTGCACACGCGTGTGCGCCCTATGGAAATGTCATGCCTCCGTCATTTTTGAGGTATGCTGAGACCGCTAAGGAGAGACTAAGATAGCAGCGCGTATCCCCTACCATCATTGTCGCTTTTGAGGGCCTCTGCTGGGTTCCCTTTATACAAAATGCTTGATTCGCTTAGTATGTCGGTTTCATAACCTGAGGCGAGACTGAAGTTAAGACCGTGATTCTTACCTATCTGCGGGGCGGGTGAGTTTCTCATAAACTCGGGAGTCTCTAGGTCGAATGAGTCAGCCTGTCCGATTTTGGTAGCGAGATCTTGGGCTGCCGCCCGGACATCGGAATGGATCATGGAGAATTCATCTGGCGTATAAGCAGTGGCGTTGGTGTTGTCTCTCTCGAACTGATAGCAGCAAATTAGGCAGTCCACCGACTGCATAATAGCGGACGAAAAAACGAGGGTAATGTAGTACGAGATGACAAAAGCGACGAATGCAGTCAACATGGGAGCTTGTACATAGCTGGAGGAAAGAGAATCCTGGAGTGTTGCCGTCGACTGGTGGCCCTTGAGCGGTGGCCAGCGGTGGTGGTCCCCCATGACGGCCAGTGGTGGTGGTCCCCCACGACGGCCAGTGTTTCTTACAAATGGTCGGAGGGCCTGATGAACGCGGGTGTGATTGTGGACGTGACCAGAGTTACAATAGCACAGCTAGTCGCAACGGTGAGTGGCGCCAACACATGATGTGCCAGTGCCACGAACCGTAGAATGGATCTCACACATTGGTTCAGGAGGTCGTCGTTAATTAAGGTTTTGGTCGATGTGAACAGACTAGAAATACAGCAGTAAGTAAAGGATAGGGGTCGGCAGTAAGTAAAGGATAGGGGTCGAGTGCAACCCCTGGTGGGTTCCGGTGTGTGTGTGCAGAGCGGCTTACTGGTGGCCGTGGATAAGGCTGTGGGCGGTTGTGAGAGTGGTGGCGCAGGATGCTAGGTTGTAGAGGGGAGAAATGATGCGGTTTTCTTGGCTACCGGAATTAACCCACCAGCGGTGGACGGCCGGAATGTACATGGCCAGAGTGATGACTGTGGTGAGAGGTCTTAGGAGAGCATTGATAGCACTGATGGCAATGACATTGCTGAGATGGCTGGACAAAGTGGTGAGGGAGGCATAACGAATAGCGGACATTTCCACTCCCCGTTCACCACCTATGTCTGGCGGCGAGTAGTACCATACAGTGGTCCAGGCGGCTACGAATGTGTTGCTGACTGAAATGATAGCTTCAAGAATTAGAATGCACCACAGCAGATAAGCAAACAGGTTAATTACATTGATCCAAGATGTCTTAAGCACCACGCCCCCAGAAGCCATGCTCGATTTGTCTTCGATGCTCAGCTGGTCGTCCACTCCCTTCTGTCCCACCCTGTGAGGTCCGCCTTCGACTACGTGTAGATCCGTGTCTCCAACGCCGAGGTGTTGGTAATCGAGGTTTTGGCCGTCTAGTGGTTGGTAGCGGAAGTCAGGGTGCCGGTACCCTGGGTGCCGGTACCCTGGGTGATTCGGGGGGAGCTTATTCTGGGGGGAAAGAAGAGCGTCGTCCGGACCGTGCACGAAAAGGTCTCGAGAGGGAGTGAACTTGAAAGGCAAAGTGACCGGCTTCTGGATCTCATTGTCCCGTACTACCTTGCCGATTTCCTTACCCAGTTGGGTAGCCACGTCTCCAGAGTCTGGCTGTTCGGCGAGGCGCCGTCTGAAGGTAGCCTGGCTTCCGTGATATGTGAGTCTCTCCTTCGTATTCCGGTCCACATGGGTTGCCTGCATATAGGTTGACTCCACATGAGGGGTTTCCAGTAGGTGGCGTTGGAAAGGTATAAGGCCGACTCCTGGGGTGGTGAGTAGTACGGAGGAGGAGATGCGTAGGGAAAGCAGCAGGACGAAGATCATGAGGAATGCACAGCAGGAGGGCATTACCCAGAGCCCGGGGATGCTCTTGGCGGCGCTGAGGTAGACCTTGAAAACATTTTCGCCAATAGATGTTCGTGCCCGGTAGGTCACGAGCATGGTAGCGACGAGTGATGCGACGGCGACGATGAACACAGACATGATGGATGACATGGTAACACCGCTAGCCATAATGATTCGGCTATAGTCCTGAAACAAGTTTACTTTGTTACTGCATACAATGAGCAGGACAGTTAGCGTTGGGACAACGCCAAATGCCGCCAAGTGCAGGACTTTGCAATCTCGCAAATACACGTAGTTTACTCCCGCACCTGCTAACAACGACAGGCAAGATACCGCCACCAGCAACCAGTATGCCCCGCCACTGCTTATTGACGACGCAAAGATCCAGGCACGTAACTTGGAATTTGACAACTTCAGGGCGTGCGTCAGATAAGTACCAACCGAACGATCTTGAGGAAGACATAAAAAGTCAGAGAACTGTTCCGTCGGATACACTCTCGACTTGCTCATAACATCGCCATACACCCCACTCAAACCCGGAGACACGTCGTCCACGGCGAACCCATTGTTGAAATCCGCTGCCGTTGGGCACCTCATCACGCACACGGGTTTCTCCAACTCCAGCGCCTGCAGTCCCTTAGCCAGCGAATGTTCAGTCTACAACAACTAGTAGTAGGAGGGGTTGACGGCAAGAGGGATTGACGGCAAGAGGGGTTGACGGCAAGAGGGATTGACGGCAAGAGGGATTGACGGCAAGAGGGGTTGAGGCGCAAATACGGGCGGGTGTAAATGTCCGGGGGGTGTAATGACCGGCGGAGGGATGAGTATCAAACGTTACCGATTTTAGAGGGTAGTAGAGGAACTGGTTGCCATGGAGTTGGTCATATCCGCAGGAAAAGCCGAGGTAGTCTATTGCAGGTTTCGGGATGGTAGCAAAGAGATGTCGACCACCAATAACTATCCACCAAATTACAATGATCACGAACGCACTGACCCAGGTCAAGTCGCGCACCATCGAGCGCGGAGCTGGATTGACCGCCCCCGTAGACGACTGCCCCATGAACTAACTTTAAATATAAAAAGGAGAGATCACTGCTTTCCCGGAGGAGGTTCGTCCCGAAGGATGTCTTCCCGGAAGGGAACTTTTTCTTGAAGTCTCGAAGTGAGTGTTCCCCCCATAGAGTGTTCTTTCGTTCCCATTGAGAAGTTCGCGTCGAAGGACTGATCCGCTTGAATGCGGGACCTGTACTGGATCAAACGGGACGGACCATCAGTCACCCAACCTTGTTCCGTTCGTTCTTCCGCACCAGTCCATGGACGCGTTCAGCGGTGAACGTGTGACGCTTCCCAGGGGTGGGACCTCGACACACTTCGACCGCGCACCTGACAATCGTGTACTTTGACAACCGTAACACCTAACGACTGTGACACCTTACTACCGTGACTTTTTCACAAATCGAGGGGTCTCAAATGAGAGGGTAGATAGGTGCATCCAGTACCGACATGGTTATCGTTTCACAGAAATTTTAACGTTGTTGTAGCCAGGCCAGCGATCTCGAGTCGCCGCAGTGAGTAAAAGTTCCCTTATGTCGTTTTGGTTTTGATCGAACATGAATAAAGACTGGCGTTGCAGTTGAGCCTTGTTCGCCTTAATCCAGAGCCAGTTATCAAATGCAACTGGCTTGCCACCATCTTCGGACTTGATGTAAAGTTTGTATGAGATGTCTTCTAAGGGTAAGGCCTGTCCCGAGTCTGCTACTTGTAGTATTTTCTGCAGATCGAGAAACAGGATTGCCATACCACCTTTGTCGCACATCAACATGACAATCACACGTTCTGTTTCCGAGCAACTACCGTCACTAGGTGATGTACTTAAACGAGAACAACTTTCAACCTTTCTGGTAGTCGAATGATTAAATGATGACGTGGATGTGGTCGTAGATGTTATCGGAGAGAAACCACCCACGAGACTAGATTCCGATGATATAGTACGTTCCGTGGCTCTTGTGGTTACTCCAAAAGGAAGTCTACGACATGGCTTGGCGATGCCACTATTCCCTGAGATGTAACCGAAAAACTTGGTTTCCCGATCAGTAGCTGATAAGTAGATCTTTACAGGACTTCGTGAACCGCAAACAAACCCCCCGTCTGAGGATTTGTGCACGCTTAACGTCCACGTCCGCGGGTCCGTCTTAGGGTGACGTATGACACGCGATTTCGGGTCCAACCACCTACAGCGTGTTAGTGTTTATACAAACACGCGTGTTATATATTTACGAACACGCGTGTTATACACGCGTGTTATAACACAAATAGATACACATATAGGTGATGCTCACTTATCCAAACTCTCAAACAATGTGTACTCTCTAATCGACAGTACTGGTCCGGATCTATACCCGTCAATGTCGGCCGCTAGATCACGGCGGGTCACGCACAGTCGTTCATTATCGGCCATATTTTAAATGGACTTTCTGGACTTCTTTCGGGATCCAAAAGATGAGTTAGCTGCATCCCCGATTAAAGATGACTTTGGGGTCGTCATCAAGGACGTGACGGAATCGGATGTAGGTGACACCAGCTATGAAGTGCACCGGAGGGGACGTTAGTACCGGAGGTGGCACACCCTCCGGTACTAATGACTAGGTGGCACGACTAGGTCTGCAGAGTTATGCTAGGGTATGGTTATGTTGTAGAGACGATCGAAGATGGTGGTGCGAGAAGTATTGGAATACGTGGATCGAGACAGTTGTCGTGCGGGGCACGTGACGGCATTGGTTGTGCAAGTTTTGTTGGAGCGGGTGTCTATGCCATTGTTGAATCTAAGTAGTTGTTTAGAAGATTTGTTGCCGTCTTTGGTAGAGAGATTTATGAGTAAGGAAGAGGCTTGGTGGAAAGAGTGGCGATTACCGCATTTTGTGTCGTTGACAGAATTGCGACATTATTATGGCGATACGTTGGGTGCAGCTAAGACGACTGCACGGGACTTGACCGAGGCGTTACGGTCGGGGCAAAAGGTTAGCTTTGTGCAACGCTGCAATCTCCGCGAACTCATTTGGTGTGCCCTCTCTGCAGCCTCACTCATCCTACCACCCGAGGCCGCACACGCTACACTCATGGGCTACGCCTGTCGTAAACCTCTACAGTATGGCTACCTTGCCGGTATCACCACCGCACGCCAAGGAAAGAAACGAGCACACTTCTTCACTGCATATCTTGCGAGCGCCGCCAGCGCCATCAAAAATACACTGCATCCCGAGGAAGCAGTGTTCGGAGCACTCGACGTACTCGCTGGACTACAAGATACCAAGTGGGAATGCTGCGAAGAAGACGCTCACAACATTATGCCCCTGTCGCTCCTTTGTCTCTGCACCGGTGCCATCGCCAAGGCCGCCCGTCCGGAAGGTCTGGGGGAAAAAGGCTGGAAGGAAAAAGGCTGGAAGGAGGAAGGCCGGGAGGAGGAAGGCTGGAAGGAGGAAGGCTGGAAGGAGGAAGGCCGGAAGGAGGAAGGCCGGAAGGAGGAAGGCCGGAAGGAGGAAGGCCGGAAGGAGGAAGGCCGGAAGGAGGAAGGGTGGGAGGGAAACCATAAGGGGGTGGACCGCTCATTGGACCGACCATTGGACCGACCACTAAGCATTTTATTGGAGTATTGTCACCGGTTCATTCCGGCGGCATGTTTATGGTCGTGGGTATCGCACATGGCCACGGCAGCGCCTTGTGATCGTGGCGTAGGGGACATGGACATCACGCCTTTGGTGCAGAGCATCGTCTTTGCGTATGCGTACCAACGTCGTCTTGGTTGTACACTCGATTGTTTCCGGAGGTTCGAGAATATTCGACGGGACGCGCGCATGAAGGTGGGGAAAGGCGCTTATTTGGTGCGCAGCGCTACCGACCTGGACGTCTCACATGACCTGTACATGGGCGGTCTTTGCAACACCATGAGCTCTGTCTACAGTCCGGTGTTCTGTTTTACTCAATTGCTGAAGGTAGTTTGTGTGATGGGCTCGCAAGCCAAAGCGGGCCCTGAAGAGGGGTTCTACGTTGGTGAGCACTGGAACAGTACTGTGAGTGCTGTCGTACTCTTCCGCTCCGCTATGGACATTTATTACTACATGCTAGAGCAGGACGTATTTACAAACATTCATAAACTCTCCCTACCGCTAGATAAGGTTATTGCAAGTGTCCTATACTCCTTAGCAGACTACTCACAATCGCCCAGTGGCGATTCCGTACTCAGCGATCATTGTAGCAGACAATTACAATATATGATTTCGCGCTATGACAATCACAATATTATTCTCGTACACAAGCTTCTAGTCTTAGACCTACTACAATACCCACATGGACCCGTACTTATTACCACCTTCGTCCACCTCATTGACAAGTTCAGACAAATTTGGGTCACGAGATTGCGAGAAACGCACCCCACCAAATTCACCTCCATCTTCTCACCACTTATTCAACTCTTGGATAAGGATGATGCACTTCTATTCTGGGGACCGGTTATCTACTCTCTAACGTTGCTGGCATATCAAATTCAGGAGAGCACTGGACACCCCACTGGACAAGTCACGAATACCGATGGACACACCACTGATGAGATGGAAAAAGCATTGAGGAGTCTTGTGAGTTCTATAGACTCGTACACGCCAAAGTTGCGGCTGGAATGTCAAGGAAAAGAAGATGGTGGGCAGTTGGTAGATAGAATATTATGGCAGAGGGAGCAGATATTGATGTGACAGATATTTTTGGGGGAGGGAAAATCGGAGCGATGGGTGTTGTGGAGAATGCGCAATGCACATTTCGTGATTTGTCGTGTGATATTCCTGAGGTAGTTTCGTTGGATGTATTTGTGGATGAATTGGGGGGGTTGTCGACATTGGAGCTGTTGGATTCAGAATATACGGATGAGTCTTTATGGTTGACAAACATTCCTTTATTGGTGCGCTTGTGGCGGCGGAATCGGGCTGCGTTTAAGATCAAGAATTTAGTTGCGCACAGTTGTAGTGTTGCCTTTGAAGGAAATGCGTCATTTAAGAATGTGGTAGGCTTACCGGGATGCTTACCGGAATTTATGATTCCGTCATATAGTTGGGAAGATGTTACTTCAAAGTTTGTGTCTTGTGAAATTCAAACGATGATTCAATGGCTATGTCTTAAGCATCTGGACAATATTAAGACAATGTACATTAGTGGCAACCTTCAATACTCTGGTTCTAGATTATACTCGGAACGTGTTCTTCATAAACCAATTACTGAGATCAGTCCTGACTTCAGACCATATCCTGGTGGACCGTCTCCTGGTGGACCATTTCCTGGTGGACCGTCTCCTGGTGGACCATTTCCTGATAAAGGTGTAATTCCGCAAGAAATTATTGATACTGATGAAGAGGGGGCTTGTGCACTGTTCGATAAGGTTACCGAGTGTACTCTTGCTGGAGACTGTTCTCTTACATCCATTGAGAAACTGTTAACTCAATCAGGTGATATTTGGCTCATGTCCATTATGGATGCTCTCACTTGCAATGAGAAGACACCAGATCGCTTGGAGACCATATTCGAGTCAACTGTTAATGAACTCATGCCCCAGGAATTCTACGCTACATTCGTCCCCACTCTACAACCTCATTCCTTCCACCCTGAACAGTTATGCTTGCTGTTGGAAGCCGACAATGTGACTGATGCTAATTCAGCTCTCATCAAGGATCTCAGGCTTGCCGCTCAAAGTTACCTCATGAACTTACATGGGTCTTCAAGAGTCGGATTCGCCGACCAGAACAAGACGACATCAATCTGCGGTCCTACCCTTGGCTCTGAAGCCGCATTCTACGGTCTATTGTCAGGTGAATTCTCCGCTGCTGTCAGATCTCCGGCCGTTAAAGAATGGGATTCAATTCTTCTTGCTGGCCTAGTAGCCATTGCGAGAGACTCTCAACTTGGGCTTAAGCAATTAACTCCGACTCAAGCACTTCCAACCTTTGATATCAATGCCCCGGAAGCACTGATTCATATATACCAAACGATAGCTGAGCAACCTCTACTCAAATTAACCCCATCTCAACTACTTAGCCAACTTTTATCAATTGTCAGGGCCCTCGGTGCACCTTCAATTACCCCGATAATTCAATGTATATCCGCCCTCATAACCAACCTACCCTCTGGACCGGAATACGCATTTTGCGAGTTTGTTGAAGCAGTGTTAAATAACGTCGGAGAATTCTCCAAGCCATTATACCCGTGTATCGCTATTGAGGCGGCCTTATTATGGCGAGAAGTTGAAGGCGAGGCCGGCGAAAAGTTTGCTGAGCGCCAACCAAAGCATGAAGGGCCCGTAACTTTTGATTGGGTCAATAGCACACGTGTGCGCTCTGTAACGGATGCAGCATTGAGGCGCTATATAGAGCTTTGTGTACAAAATCGCAGTCTGATACCATGCGAGCGGTGGACGAAGAGAGCTGTTAGATTGATTAGCTGCTCGGATCCCCGATTACAGAAAAAATTAGTTAGTGAGGTACTTGCCTCTGAATTGCAGGCTGCTGCAAACGAGGACTCGGCAAGCATCAGTTCGGTTAATCTGCGTAACCTGACGTTCGAGGCAGCAGCGGAATGCCCCCGAGTTGCTCTGAGGGCGTGGCTGTTGGTCAAAGACGGATTAATTGAACGCGCCAATAACATCATTGCGCATTTGACGACATTGGAGGCGAAGGCATTGGAGGGGATAAAATATGAGAATGACGTCTTGTACCATGACTCCATTGCCCTTTTCTGTAAAGAATTAGGTCTATATATCAAGGTGTCTGCTTCCCTGATGGACTCGGCCGACCAGATCTTTGGGAAAGAAGATTTGGATGCCTGGTTTGAGGGGTCCCTGATTCCACAGGCGGACCCACAGACGGACTTGGTGCGGATGGCTTACACTGTGGCTGAGGATTACGGTCTGTCGGAGACTGCTTCAATGCCGGAGGCTGCTTCAATGCCGGAGGCTGCTTCAATGCCGGAGACTGCTTTAGGATCAGAACAACTAAGGTGGGACGACAGCGCAGCCGTCGTGTTTTGTCAAGGGTTGCTGCTGGAGGCGGCGACTGCGTGTTACATGTCTCTGTTCACAATCAACAACTACTACTTCGCCCGACTGACGGAGACGGAGTTGGACGCGGGGTTCGATGCATCGGCAGCCGTCTGGGGTGTAAGTATGAGAGACGAGCACAAGATCTTTTGGCGAGGTGGTAATTCCGACCGCTGCTGTTCTATCACGCGGGACTCCGCCAGTGTTGAGGTTCCGCTGGATCATACGACCTTCCTCAACATTCATATACAGAAGGAAATGGTTGATCCGTTCTTAGACCAGTTCAGAGGACAAGTTTACAACCTTCTTCCTAGACTCCGAGATTACGGATTTACAGAACTACAAGATGCTGCAGCAGTGCCGCTAACACTCAACACCATAAGTCGTAACCAAGCCGCCGAAGCAGCGACCTCTCGACAGACGACCTCTCGACGGAACACAGCCATCCCCATCATCGGGCTGAGGAACTGGCTGTACTGCTCCGCTCTCGCTGAATTCATGGCCAAGATCAACGATCTCGGCATCACCTTATGTGGGGACGCCGTTTCCATTGATGAAATCAAGCTTCAGTCTTCAGCCCTCGTCTCCTTCATCGAAAGTAACTTGAAACCACTCAGGTTTATTAGAACTAAGTCAGCTGCTGCCATGGAGTCCTTGCTTGAATCAGCCTGGATGGAAGTCTCCCGGCTACTTAACGGCTTCATCAAATTCACTGCTCCTGCCGACACGGAAGCCGTCTTGAATGAATGCGCTGCTATTGGAGAAGCCTTTGGCTCATTCGTCAATGACCGACGAAGCTAGCTCAATGTCGTAACGACCTAACCTGCAGTCACCCAATCACAGACACCCACCAGAACCACAAGAGTAGAACCACCCAGAAGAGTAGAACCACCCAGAAGAGTAGAACCACCCAGAAAGAGTAGAACCACCCAGAAGAGTAGAACCACACAGAAACAGTAGAGCCACCCAGAAGAGTAGAACCACGCAGAAAAGTAGAACCGCCACCCTTTTTCAATTGTCTAACCTCGGGGAAATGCCTGTTCAACTCGACTGGATACCTGGCTGTCCGTTTGGGCACTGACGCCACTGAGTAGACCTACCACTATAGACCTTAGTCGGTTGGACCTTAGTCGGTTGGACCTTAGTCGGTTGGACCTCCAAATGTTGTGCGCGGGCGTTAATTCTAGTGATTTAAATGTGAGCAGCTAATTGATGTCATCATACTCATCTGATTTTGGAGGTGGAGGTTATGGGGACTTTCTGGAATATCTACGACAAAAGAATGAAAACATTAAACTACAGTTAGAAGAGAAATGTGACCGGGAAGACAAGCCTCAGATATTTGCGGGCTGTGTCATCGGAATCGATGGCAGGACCAATGTGCTTGATGCCTATCTCAAAAAGTAAGATCTTCACCTTGCCGTGTGGCTTTCTTCACCTTGCCGTGTGGCTTTCTTCGCCTTGCCGTGTGGCTTTCTTCATCTTGCCGTGTGGCTTTCTTCACCTTGCCGTGTGGCTTTCTTCACCTTGCCGTGTGGCTTTCTTCACCTTGCCGTGTGGCTTTCTTCATCTTGCCGTGTGGCTTTCTTCACCTTTCTTTATTCCTCTAGGTTAATTTATGAGCATGGTGGAACGTATGAGTATTTAAGCGCCAAAAAGTTCACTCATCTTATTGCTGATAATATCGCCCTAGGAAACCAAAAGTGGAAAAAGATTCTGTAATACCACACTGTCCTAACACACCGTCCTATGTCCTAACGCACCGTCCTATGTCCTAACACACCGTCCTATGTCCTAACGCACCGTCCTATGTCCTAACACACCGTCCTATGTCCTAACGGACCGTCCTATGTCCTAACGGACCGCTTCAGTAAAAACCGTCAACCAGATTCTTATTAGAAATGGTTACCGACCATGGTATAAGATAGTTCATTCGAATTGGGTACTAAGGTCTATTGATGCCGGAAAACGCTTGGATGAAAAGGAATATTTGCCCGAGGCCTTGCGCAACCACTGGCAACAAGTCGGAACCCTGACAACCACGATCGTGCCATCTCCCGACACGACTGCATTACCTGCAAAAGTGGAGACGCGAGCCGGAGTAGAGGCGACGTCGAGAGTCTCTACCGGTCTCGCCAATAACCCACCATCGTCGGACACGGAGGTTGCCGGTGACCAGATGCCGTCACGCCCTTCAGTCATAGTCGACAACGTGACTGGGGTCAGCACGGCTGGGGTCAGCACGGCTGGGGTCAACATGACTGGGGTCAACATGACTGGGGTCAACATGACTGGGGTCAACGGCGATGCGGTCATGGCGGATGGAGTCATAATGGATGATTTCATAACTCCTGGTTTGGACGACGACCAAGCCGGTCCAGACGCCCGTGTGGAGACCGGAGGGGCAGCCAGTAGGAGGACCACTGCAGGAGTGCAGCATGACATTGGTCCCACGATGGACACGCCGAACTTCGTGAAGGCTTTCTTTAGTAAAAGTCGACTGCATTTTATCGGACGGTGGAAAGAGCACGTGTTCCGAATGAATCGGTTCATAAAGATGGATCAACATCAAAGGGTGGCATCCGCTTGGGTAATCAATGGGCCGCCCAATGGAACGGAGTGGGTTCCTGTGCGTTACCTGCACGTGGACTACGACTCGTTCTTCGTTAGTGTCGCCGTGAAGATGAGCAAAGAGCCAATCCAAGTGGAGTCGGTACCCATCGGGGTGGCACATGGTACCTCGAACACATCTACTGCGGAGATAGCTAGTTGCAACTACAAGGCAAGACAGATGGGTGTGAGGAAAGGAATGTACGTAGGGCAAGCCCTTACCCGCTGCCCTAATCTCAAAATCCTGGGTTACCATCTCGACGAAATTGCACGCTGCTCCTCCAAGCTCATGACCATATTGTCTCTGGTCAGTCCCAGAGTTCTGCCCTGCAGTTGTGATGAAGCGTACTTACAACTTGTCGAACGTCCATCGTCCATGAATCCAACTTATGTGAATCCACCGTCTGTGGTGACGCAACGCTTAGGACGATCGGAGTTGCAAGCAACGGAGTCTTTGTATTTACCGGGATCTCCCGCAATGCGTCGGCCTCCTAGTCTAGGGGCTCCTCCAAGTGGTTCGGCTCCTCCAAGTGGTTCGGCTCCTCCAAGTGGTTCGAGTGATGGTGACCAGGATGAGGAGGAATCGTACGATAGCCGGCTGGGGAACGAGACAGGGGGGTTATCGCATTCGGTGTATTTAGCTGAGTGGATACGACAGAAGGTGTATGTTGCTACGGAGTGCTCGGTGTCCATCGGGATCGGCGACAGTCCTTTTCTAGCGAAGATGGCTTCCCGTAAAGCGAAGCCACCTTCGGGTATTGGTGTGTGGATGATCCCGGAGGCCAAAAGCTACGGGGAGGGGTGTTTAGATCTTGAATCGTACCACCGAAAGTGTGTAGAGGCCGTGCGGCAGAGTCGGGGAGTGGAAGGGTTATGTGAGGAGCGTGATTTATCTGAGCGACTGAAGAGTATCAAAAGCGAGTTCATGGGTGTTGGTATAGACCAACTCCATGGCGTAGGGCTAAAGACAGTGGAGCAATTGAATGAACTTGGTTTCTACACCTGCAACGACTTTTACACCGACCCACCGCGGGCTTTCACTACTCTCAAAAAGACCTTTGGTGACAACAAGGGCGAATCCATTTTCCTCATGGCCTACGGCATTGACAACCGGGCCGTGACTAGTGTAGACAAAGTGGCGAATACACGGGAGGTATCAACCGTCTCGGTCACCATAAACTGGGGCATCCGGCTATTCAGCACAGAAGACGTATACATATTATTCCGACAGATGTCGGAGGAATGCCTTGGCAGATATGATGCCACAATACTCGAACCGAAACTATTCTGTCTCAAGCTCCTAGTTCGTTCTCCCGATGCTCCCGTGATCCCCTTGAAATACGGTGGATGTGGAAAATGTGTTGAAATTAATGAGAGACCAGAACCGGGATCCTACGTACTCAAATCAGCACAGGATATACTCCAAGTCGCATTCAATCTCTATACAAAAAAAATACATTCTGTTATAGATGTGACAGATATACGAGGGCTCACCTTCAGCCTGAACAAGTTCGATCCCATTGATCCGTCACAGAAAACTCTCCACAACTTATTTGCTCAAAACCCCGGGCAACGTCAACGGGGTCTGCCAATACCAGAACTAGAAAATGGTCTTGGCGACCAGGACTCCGCTGCTGGTGACCAGGAATCCGCTGCTGGTAACCAGGAATCCACAGCTGGTGACCAGGAATCCACTGCTGGTGACCAGGAATCCACAGCTGGTGACCGGGATGGTTACCGGGAAGATGACGGGGTAAATAATCGGGAGTCCGCAGGAGACTTAATACCTAGAGCTTATGTCATCATACCGCGGTTCAGCGACGTCGGACGAAGGCCCATTACCTCGTGGCTCAAACAGTCAAGTCAAAATGCAAGGGGCCTTGCATCTCGCGGCTCAAAACGGGATCGGAGTGAGATGGAGGCGGAGGACAACGAAAGGGCCAAGAGCACCAGGCAAACCGAAGCTAGCATGTCCCTCGAAGGTTTCGGGGTTCCGACTTGCCCGGGAAACGTTGCAGTGACACCCGCAGGAGGCGTGACTATACCGCGCTCAGGAGCTAAGCCGTATTCGAGGCGCGAGCAAGCTGCCACAGGACCACTGGACTTGATGATGAAACATCCCCGAGCTTCCCCTTGCGTACCTCGAGCTTCCCCCTGCGTACCTCGAGCTTCCCCCTGCGTACCTCGGGCTTCCCTAGACATACCCCCACTGGTCGAACCGTCCTCCTCGAATAAGCCAACCGGTCCTCTTGCACAAGACCGCGGGGGGGAGTACGTGTCGGGGGACAAGCCGACCAAGCGACGACGTCGGACTACGACCAGCAGGTGCATCTACGAGAGCGCGCCTGCGAGGAAGCTGGAGAAAGAAACCCAGACCATCACTCCCATTAGTTCATGCGGATTCACGCAAATTGTTGAGGAAGAAGACTCCGGGCACGAGTCTAGGCAAGGGTCCAGTCACGGGCCCGCGGCTTACCGAACATCCGGCCTGCACGGAGGCTCGGTCATTGAGTTTCCGCCAAGTCCGTTTCTGTTAACGGAGGGCCCGCCGTCACCGACGGAGATGGTCCACAACCAAGTATCTGGAAGTTTACTGAATGAAGTGTCAGGAAGCCCTGGAAGTCATTTCCGGGCCGAAGTCCCTCTAAGTCCCGGTGGAAGGTTCGAGAACGAACTCCGTGACAGGTTTCAGGATGAAGGTTTGAATAAGAACATCCAATGTACATCAGCCCAAGGCTCCCGACGTACGTCCAGCGCGAGCGAACCTGGGCCTTTTGTCGAAAGGGGTTCTGCTGGAAGGCGGCAGGATGCTGTTGGAAGGCAGCCGGACGGAACCCGACTAGGTTCTTTTGCCATAGATCCCGGGGGAGGTCATCCTGCACCACCCCCTACACCACGACAGATGACACCGCGTCAGCAACCGAAAGGACCACTGGACATTTATGTTCGTCCTAGCAATAGTGAGCTGTTGATGCAGACACCGAAGAAGAGGCTGAGACAAACACGCAAGAGGCCCCTAAAGCGGAACCAGGCCGGCCAGAAACGACCCAGGACGGTACTGGAGTCGTTCAAACCCTCAGTAGTCACCATCAGCGACGACGACGACTTGCCCAGGCAACCGAACGGGGATACTGTGGCGGACGCTCCGACCAGGGAGGCGGACGCTCCGACCAGGGAGGCGGACGCTCCGATTAGGGCGGGGGAGGTTCCGACCAGGGCGGGGGAGACTTCGACCAGCTATTCCACGGGAGACTCGGCAATCCTCTCAAGTCTTCGTATGGATGGTTATGCAGGCAGAGCGCCAGCCAGCTGCGAAGTTATTGGCGCCACCAATCGAATTCCAGGGAGCGCGGACGCAGAAGGTTTAGAGGACGGAGGATTGCGGCCATACCAGGGGTGTCAGATGGAGACCAGTCATGGGGGTCAGATGGAAACCCGGCAGCATAACGCATTTCGTAGCATGGGGAGCATCTATGAGCGGTATTTCTCTGCCGCACGAAGAAACTCTGGAGATGCTGCTGACCTGGTTGTCGGCAACAGTCGGCTTGACAACAGTCGTCCACTCGGCAGTTCCATGGAAGTAATCCTCAACATTAAACAGGAAGAGGTCGCGGAGTTCTTTGTGGATTGCCAGACTTGCGAAAAGCTCAAAACAGTCCAAGTTGGTGACAAGACTATACATGTCATAGACTGGGAGTCCGATGCGGGGTCTGTCAGTAGCGGCCCATTTGAGTCGCCAAAATCATTACCAGATAGTCCTCTGATGGGAGGGCCCGACGATGGGGCGGCTGACGACTTTGGTCCCGTTGGCGTTGGTCTTATTGACGTCGGTCTGACGGGTGGCGCTGGTATGGATGGCGTCGGTAAGGAGGACGTTAGTGAGGCCCGTGCTAATGGAGACGGGGTGCCGGATGCTTCCTTTCCGCGAGTGGACGCCTTCCGACCAGACGAGCGCCTCCCGCGGTCTGATGAATTCTTCCTTGTATCAAATGAGTGCTACGCAAGCCCGAGCACCCCTCCTGCTCGGAAAGAGACCCAAAAGAAAAAGCAGTCCCGAAACAACAAGGGATCGATGAACATAGCGAGCTTCTTCGGGAAAACTGCGCCACCAGCTAATAATAACGACGATGCACCTCTTCCTGAGGATTGCGCGAGTCTCGCTGAAGTGCAATTCACTGCACCCCAGCCTGGTATTCTTCAGAGGATGCTCTTTCTGTACCAGTCAGACCCTATTCAGTTTTTGGCTTATCAGCACGCGAAAGAAGAAATATATAGGTAGCTAGCAAACGCGTGTTCGATCGCGCAATATAAACACCATTTTTCCTTCAGCACTTCTCCTCGAGAGGAGGTGGCAGCGAGAGGGGTCGGAGACCGAATAAAAAGAGTAAAAACCCATCCCGCCCGGCGAAATCGCGTCCTGGCCCGGCAGCGCGTCATCATTTCTATTTTAGACTCCGGATGTCGCGGAGAGTGCGGGATTGGTGTGACGTATGTCGGGATACTGAGCCTGATGTCAAATGTAAGGGTCTTTTACATGCGAGTGACTGCCCTGTAGGTACCAGTGAAGGCTGTGGAAGGAAATTTCATGAGTCCTGCCTAAGGACTTTGAATCTGTGGGACCCGTCCACGAAGCGAGATGAATTCATAGTAAGTTGATCGCCCCTTTGGTCCTATCGTTGTACGTTGTGCCCACGAGTCCCCCTCGTCTCCGCAGTGGTGCGTCGGGTTTGTTCTGCGGTGCATTCCCTTTCCCAAGTGACTTTCTGCCCCTAAATACGTTGTCTGTTTGTAGTGCCCGGATTGCAAAGAAGCTAATGTGAACGACGGCACTTGTTATATATGCAAGAAGGAGTTATATGTTTTGCCAAGCCCCAAGAAGAAGAAGCCGCAGTCAGTGAGAGAGGAGTTGGTTGCGGAAGAGGAAGAAGACGAGGAGGCGACGGAAGAAGAGAACGAAACCGGCGCAGTGCGACCTCGTAGATCGAGTCGCCTAAAGGCTCACAAAGCGGCAGCCGCGGCGGCAGCCGCGGCGGCGGCGGAGGCGGCGGAGGCGGTGGACGTGAGTGAAAAAGGTCGCCGTGTAACGCGGCAGGAAGCGGAGAATATTGAAGGCATTCTGTTGTGCGACGGCTGTAGTAACTCGGCGCATAAAGAGTGCCTGGGATTGGCTAGCGACGCGCTTATGGAGGATGACGAATTGTGGTTTTGCACAGACTGTGACCCAAATGGTGAAACGGCGCAGAAGAAGAATGGGGCGCTCCCGACGGCGCCTCGGCCTTCGAATGGTAGTATTTCGCCCAAGTCTAAATTAGGCGGGAACGTGGATATTTGTTACGTCTGCCAGAAGGGTGGTAAGTTGTTGGGCTGCGACTTTTGTGAGCAGTCCTACCACCCTCGTTGCATTGACTCGGAGTACCTTGAATTCGAGCAGCAGCCGAGTGAGGGTGGCGATACGGAGGCGCCGGTGTCTGAGCGTTGGCGCTGTCCATTGTGCAAGGGCGAGGACCCGCTGAAATCGATGAGTACTCGTCGGCTTTCGCGAACGGCCATGTTGCGGATGCAGAAGGAGATGCAGACCTGCATCCAGCAGCAGCATCGGAACAGCAAGGCGAACCGCGACCGGTTTTTGTGGGCCTCCAAACACGCACTCAAGACCTTCATGACGGAACGCGCCATGAACCGTCTGAGCAAGATGTTCGGCGGCACAGCGCGGAAACGTATCGCCGAAAGCTCAGATGAAACGGAGGACGAGTCCGGCTCCGTTGATGGGGAGCAGTCTCGCGAAATGCAGAAATTAGAGTTGGATGCCGTCAAGGCCTACCGGACGGCGCTCAAGTGCGCCAAGAACGGGTTGCTGAAGGAGGGCGTGCAACTGAAACCATACCAAGTTGTCGGCGTGGGTTGGTTACTGCACTCATTCTTCAACAAGGCCGGTGCCATTCTCGCGGATGAAATGGGACTTGGAAAGACAGTACAGTGTCTAGGCTTCATCAGTGCGCTCAAGGCGCAAGGCATCACGGGCCCTCATCTTATCGTCGTCCCGCTCTCCACCGTGGGTAATTGGGCGCGCGAAATTCGGCGTTTCGTGCCGCATTTGAAGTTTGTCAAGATTTGCGGCTCCCGTTTCGAACGGGACCACATCATGGCCGATTTTGTTGCCGCACAGGGTCTGCATGACCTGTACATTACGACCTACGAGACGGTCGTAACGGAAGAGTCTTTCTTCTGTGACAACTTCGATTGGCAGTGTATCATTCTCGATGAGGCCCATCGCATTAAGAACCAGACCGGGCGCATCCGGCACAGTCTCGATCGTGTTTCGGCCAACATGCGGGTCCTCCTGACCGGTACGCCGCTCCAGAACAATATCAAGGAGCTGTTTACGCTGCTCAATTTCCTCTTTCCGGAAGTTTTGGAGCATAGCGACAACTTTGAAAAGGCTTTCCTAAAGGGACAAATCAACAACCCAACGCCGGAGGAGCACATCGAGGAGACCATCGACAAGCATGCGATGGATGCCGTGAGCCATCTACTCTCGAAGATGATGCTGCGGCGCACTAAGGATCTCGTGGTCCGCTTGCCGCGAAAAATTGAGCATGACATTTGGCTACCTCTCTCGCCAACCTCTGCCTACTGGTATAGTAAGCTACTTGATGTCTCCGACCCGGACGTCGTCGACTCGCAGCCGACACCGCGGTTGTTGGGCACCGTCATCAAGATGCGCATCTGCACTTGTCACCCGAAGGGACTCGTGACGAAGGACGAACAGTTCAAAAAGTTCAAGGAGATGTTCATCAACCACCCCGCCACTACGGACGAGGCAGGACAGGAGATCGAACAGAAGGGCAGAGAGTTGAAGGCGTTGGCGGGGCTCGACCACATCCGGGCCTCCTCGAAGCTCGTCACGATGGACCGGTTGTTGTTGGAGCTGCATTTGCAGAACATGGACGAGAGCGCATCCTACCGGCGCGCATTTGAACAAAACCTGCGCGACTTGTATGTCCAGGCGCACCCGTTGCCGCCGGTCGTGGCGGCCAAGAGCAAGCCTGTTGCGAAGCGGCGTGTCAAGAAGCTTGAGCCGGAAGCCGCCGAGGTGGTCAAGAGCGAGAAGAGCGAGACGGATTCGGCTGCGCCGGCGGGTGAGGAGAAGTTGACGGCACGGCAGGTGGCGGAGAAAGCGCGTCGCGAGCGGCAGGCGCTTGCAACGTTGCAGCAGAAGGAGTTGAACGAGAAGTGCGAACTCGTTGTGCAGGAAACGATCCGCGAAATGGAGAAGTACCGGCAACACGAGGAATGGTTGCGCGAGGCCATGCTCCCAGGTCAGGTCAGCGACGCGCCCATCCCGGTCGTCAAGGCGCTCCTCGACCATGAGGATGCCCTGGGTGACGAGACACCTTCGCACCCGGGCATTACGCCCTCCACTCCCCGGAGCCATACCGGAATTGCGAGTCAGGAAGACGAGAAGATGGACGCCTCTTCGGAACGGGTCGAGGAGTCGTTCGAACGCATGGAGGAACCGTCGTCCGAGAGAATTGAGGAAGAGGAGGTGGACGAGAAGATGGTGGAGGAGCAGCCGACCTCAGAAAAAATGGAGGACACGGTCTCCGAGAAGAATGAGTCGCCTGACTTTCCGACGTCTAGTGAAGCGCACGAAACTGGAGAGGGTACAGTGCCAGGCGAGACAATGGCGGGCGAGGAGACAACGGAAGATGTCATCCCGGTCGAAGACACCGCAGCACACATGGACGTGGAGGCGACGCCTGTGCAGATGGCGAAGCCCATGCGGACAGAGGAGGCGAAGGTTGCGGCGAAGAGGATTCCGCATAAGGTGTTGGTCTTTACGCAATTCCAATTGGTATTGGACGAATTGGAAGCGTACTGTAAATTCCGTGGGTTTAAGTATTTGAGGTTGGATGGTTCGACGAATAAGATGATTCGCGAGTTGGACATTCGCGAGTTTAATTCGCCGGATTCCAGTCACCTGGTGTACTTGATTTGTACTCGTGCTGGCGGCGTAGGTATTAACCTGGTTACGGCGAATCATGTGGTATTGTATGACGAGGATTGGAATCCGTTCCAGGACTTGCAGGCGATAGATCGGGCGCACCGTATTGGTCAGAAGCGTGAGGTGCACGTCTGGAAGTTGGTGACAGAGTGGACTGTGGAGGAGCGTATGGCGTTCCGCCGTTTGCAGAAGCTGCGGTTGGATAAGTTGTTTATCCAGGCGAATAACGCGAACCAGCCGGAGCCGGACGAGGAGGGTGAGCAGGAGCACACGGAAAAGTTCAGCGTGGATGAGATCCGGCGGTTGTTGCGCTACGGCCGTGAGGCGATAAAGGCGCAGGCGCAGGGGGCCGAGAACGTGGAGACCATGTCGTTACAGGCGCTCATGAACCGTCCGCGACGCGACCTGCCGCCCTTCGAAGACGGTTCGTTGAGTGACGTGAACGTCGTTGTGAGTGAGGAGGAGGAGGAACATGTCGCGGTACCGGTGGACGCAGAAGGTGTGCCTGAGGGTTCGGAGATCCCGACCGTGAACCAGTCGCGCGCGTGCACGTCGGCGGACGACGAGACGGTCGTGACCGAGGGGCCGGGGACGGACGGTCTCGGAACCGATGGGTTGGGAGCCGATGGGCTGGGGACAGACGGGCCGGGGACAGACGGGCCGGGCGAGCCGGAGGGCGAAGGCGTGGAAGAAACGCGGCCGGAGGGCATCGACTTGGAGGAGGCGAAGCGGAGCCGGCGGTTACGGCGGCGTGTGTTGCTGAGTCAGGCGCCTGTTTCGCCGACGACTTCGAAGAGCAAGCAGGAACGGAAGGTGATTCACGACAAGCGTTGTTTTCGTTGCGGTTGTGGGAACAACGCGATGGACGAGAACGCGGACCCCTTGGTTGCGTGTCATACGTGTCCTCGTGTGTACCACATGAAGGGCTGTCTCGGGTTGGATGCGCCGCCGCGGAAGACGTGGGTGTGTATGTGGCACGAGTGCAGTTTGTGTTTTCGGAAGGGCAGCCAGGCGGGTGGGTTGTTGATCCACTGCGGCGAGTGTCCGACGACCTTTTGTTTCGACTGTTTCCCACCGGAGTACAAACGTTGGCACCCGCCTGCGACGTACTTTAGCGAGTTGTGTAGGCGAGGGTATAAGGTTTCTCCGGACAAGTTGGTACTCTTTCTGTGTTCCCGCTGTAAGGCGCTGAAGGAGCAGGCGCGGCGGCGGCTGTTGAGTAAGCAGCAGATGGACTTGGAGATGCGTCGTCGGCGCGAGGTGCAGGACAAGGCACGTCGAGATGCGCAGCAGCGCATCAAGGAGGCCCATGGAGACGACGCAGCCGCATTGGCGCTTGCGACGGCGCTGGCCAAACGTGGCGGCGACGTGAAGAAGAACTTTTTAGCGCGCAAGAAGGTCAAGGACGAGCAGGACCGGGACACCCTGGCTGCCATCAAGGCAGCCTACGAGCAGCTCTTCCCCGCCGAGTTCATCGCCGTGCTCAAGGAGAAGCGCGCCAGCCAGATGGAGAAGCGCGACGCCGCGGCCAAGCCCGAACCCGTCGAGGAGGAGCCTGGGTCAGCCGCTGTATCTGGCGCCGCGTCAGGCGCTAAGGGCAAGTTGCTGGTGA